ACATTGCTAGCCAAGCCAGGGCTCGTAAGGAAAGTGCATAAATTTTATCTATGCCTGCCGCAAGTGTAGACGATGTGGGGCTTTTGCTTCCGCTGCGTTCTTCAGCACTGAAAAGCTATGGTGAAAATGAACTGCAATTCGCGATCCTCAAACAGCTTCTCACGAAATGAGCTGTAATTCATAAGCCTCAAACTGCCTCTCATAAAATGAACTGTAACTCACAAGCCTCAAGCAGCTCCTCGCGGGACGCTGCTACAGACGGAGCAGGCAGAGCATCGCGCCTGCAACGGCTGTTTAAAGCCAGCGTCGTGCTGCTGTCGCGGACAACAGAATACGTGTCATAATATATGAATGTCGACGGTAGGTCGCATACACGGAAGCGACATGACAGCCATTGGACCGCTGACCCTACGTGACACAGCGTATGCTAGAACCGGCTCTGCGCAATCGTTCTGCCGTGGCGGGGCAGTCGGTTCATAACAGCCCTTTTTTGGACAAAAAAGGAAGAACGTTCGCGGTTTTCGACGGGGACCTAATTTAGCGTCAAATCTCCGGTGCACGAACAACAGGGATAAGCATAAGCAAGTCTCACGCTTTGCTGTCAGCGGTATCGAAATAACCGTAAACGCTAATTCTGGAGGTGTTCATGTTGCATAAGGGCGCAGCTATTCTTCCGTTCACGTTTGCGGTGCTTTATGGTACGGAATCATGGGACTAAATCCTGAACATAAAGAAGGTGTCATTATGACGAAACAAATTTTTCAAAAAAAAATGTTTACTAACTTTTTTATTTGGGCTCGACACAAACAATGGTTTTGCCTGAATTTATAATATTTTTCTTGCATTCCAAATGTGATACCAACTTTGGTCCCCGTGCAATAATGATAGCGGAACAAGGGCTAATGTGCTACACGGAGTGGGTTTACTTTAAGCTTTCTTGGTTATCAGAGAAACCGGGATTACCCCGCGAGGAACTCGGTACAGGACTCACAGATGAGTACAGGCCGGGTTTTGAGTCCAGCCTCAGTTCAGGCCAAGCTGAAACTCACCTCTGATTGTAGATTGTAAGTTGTGTGATTGTAGATTGAGTTTTAGCCCGGGGGGGGGGGGGGGGTCATATATGAGTACAGGCTAGCCGGAGGCCCCACGCACGTTCAGGCACGGCCGGAACTCACGTCTGAGCGACAGCAGAGCTGGGATTGACATCTTCTGGAGATCAAACATGAGCGTAGCTGGACTCTAAACAAATGGTTGGTACGCAATGACACGTTCTACGTTCGATCGTTCTACCAACGTTCTAAACATTCTAACCAAAACAAAGAGGTGTTTTCCTAAGATTAGTGTTTTTGGTACGAATGTTTGACAATGTTGGTTAGATGTCGAGGAGGCAGGGGCAAACATCAAGGACTTTGGTCCTTCGAAAGGCATGCCATGATGGCAACTGACTATTTTCTGGCGTCTCACCGTCGAAGACCATTTCACCCCCTTCAAAGCTAGGCAAAGCTCAGTGTACACACTTGAGTGTAATCCGACCTGGAACATATCCATGACTGAAGGTTAGGCTGGGACTGATGCCTTAGTTAGAGCGAGTTGACCTGGGAATCACACCTGAGTGTCAAATGCTGGGCTGGAACTCACACCTGGGCGTGGGGCGAGCTGGAACTCGCACCTGGGCGTGGGGCGAGCTAGAACTCGTACCTGGGCGTGGAGCGGGCTGGAACTCGCACCTGGGCGTGGGACGGGCTAGAGCTCGTACCTGGGCGTGGGGCGGACTAGAACTCGCACCTGGGCTTGGGGCGGGCTGGAACTCGCACCTGGGCGTTGGGCGAGCTAAAGCTCACTTCTGACCTCAGGTCAAACTTGAGCAGTTTTGTGATTGCCGAGGCCGGGACTCTAGTATCTGATACTCCGGCCGATGGGCCTGGCACCTGCCCGCAGGCCAGGCTGGGCTCACACCCGAGCGTGATGCAAGCTGCCCGTGCGCCAGGTATGATGGGCCTGGCACCTGCCCGCAGGCCAGGCTGGGCTCATGCCCGAGCGTGATGCAAGCTGCCCGTGCACCAGGTATGATGATGCAGGAAGCCGAGCGCACCGCACATGAGCCCCATATGTGGGTCGCACGTTCCATGGGCGCCGGCCTCGCGTGTCTCTCGGTGCTGCCAGATATGAGCCGCCGCCGCGGCAACGCTAGGGGGCGGCCAAGGGAGCCGGGATCTTCCGTGGTGGCTCCGCACAGTCGGAATCTCCCGCGGCGACTCCGCACAGCCGGGATCTCCTGCGGCAGCTCCGCACAGCCGGGATCTCCTGCAGCGGCTCCACACGGCCGGAATCTCCTCTAGTGGCTCCCCATGTGGTCCGGCGCCCACGTGGCTCCTGCCACAGTAGCAACGTCAAATCCGTCTTCAGCTGGAAGGGGTGAGTCTTGGTTTCTCTGTCACCGTCTGCGTGCTGTGCGGGAGCGGCCGGCGGATCCAGAGCGACCGCCCCGCCCGCCCGCCCCCCCCTTCTCCCCCCCCACAGCTACGCGTGCCGACGTTCTCTTACGTGCCGTCGGAAGCTGGCATTCTCGTCCCTCCAAGTCCAGGAACGGCTTTTGTTATGGTCTTGCTTCTTATGAAGGAAATAGTCCGAGTTTCTAGTGTTGTTTCCTAGAGGAAATTTTCCTGCTGTGTCGTTGGCACTTTGTGTTATGCATTGAAACTGAAAGCATGCTTAATTGGTTTTCTTGCAATGAAGCTCGTCACCCATTCTTAGGAAAATTACCTCATGGCCAGGCAAAAACGTCAGCTACATTTCCTACATTCTTTTAAAAGAATGATGAGCATGCTTTCTTAACATTCTGGAACAAAGATGTGAAAGGCCATGCACGAACCAAATATTCCAACACGCCCTCTCCTTTCCCGCACCCAACCTTTCTCTTCCGCATAGCCCAGTGTTGTGATCGGAGTGGTACGTCCAAGTCAACCGTTCTCCATGTTAGTTTATTGACCAGTTCCATCCGGGCCACGGGGTAGTTCCAACCCCCGCGTCGCTATCGACCCTGACCCCCTCGCCCACCCGGGACACCGCGCGGCGCGTCCGCCCGCGTTCCGTCGCACCGCTCCTGCTGGGGGAGGGGGGAGGGGGCAGGTGATTAGCGCCCCCACCTGACGGCGGCCGTTTGTTTTTATTGGTGGCGCGGCGCCCCGGGCGGCTCCCACAGGCCGGCCGGGCTCGGTAATGGCCGGCGGTTCGCACCAGTATTCGATTTGAGCGGTGTTGTTTTTGTGGCCGGTGGAATCCAGCAGCCGGTGATTGCCCACATTGTCCTGGGCGGGGGGGGGGGGGGGCGTCGCCGACGGAAGGGCTGAGGAGCCGCCGTCCTCCTCGTGTTCATGAGGACAGCTATGCGAGCAGCCTGAGAAACCGCCGCGGTACATATGCGGACGAGGACCGCGGTGCCATGAGGCATAATTTATTATTGCTCGGAGCTGTCGTAATTGCGGTAAGATGCCGGGAGGACGCCCGCACACCGCAAACATAACGCGGGGCGACTTAGAGCCGCGTGCCTGGACCGTCGCGCATCTCATACGGGTAAGAACGCGCACACTTCGATTGCATTTGCGTCGTGCCTATCAGCCTATGCATGTACACACATCCCTGTGTGGAACGCCGTCTCTACGGGTAAGAACGTGTACACTTCGATTACATTTGCTTCCCGTCTATCAGCCGTCCATGCACATACAGCCCTGTGTGGAGCGCGGTCTCTGCTCGTACGCATTTGATCCCGATGTGACATACAGAGTACATCAACCGAAGTCGATGTGGTGATGCGTCTTCATACCGATTAATTTATAGTTTGTTTAAGCTATTTGCTTCATTTCATTAATACGTTAAAGTCATGTGAAGCCGCTCGATACATTTGCGACTTTTTCCATTGAATCATTTACTCTGTGCGTAGGTTAAGTGCGCGGGCTCATTCGACCTTCACTTAATATCGCATAGTAAAGCATTAAGTGCTAGGTTCTGTAAGTAATTAAGCAAGCACCACACGCTGGGTGCGTAGCACAGACGTTCTCAGAACACCTTGGACGAGCGGGGCTGGCAGGCTGCGGCATTGGTGCGGTGCTGCTGATAAGCATCGGTGGACTCTTGAGACGTATCTGCCATCTGGTGTGCTGTTGGGGAGAGTCTGACATATATCCCTAGAGGAATCTGGTGTGTATATAGATGACTGGCAATATGCTGGAAGACAGGCTGAGGCGAAAGGTGAGCGCAAAAATAAGAAGGAGCAAGGGGAATGGTAGTTATATATCCGAGAGTGGAAATGCTGAGAACGGTCGGTGCAGTGAAACTAGCACAACGGTCGCGGCTTTCAAGGGAAAATGATAACATATGACTGTCTTAGCAGGGGTGGGCGTGGCCATTATCGCGCCTCCCATGCCACACTATCCACTAAACACAAATGCTGAGAATTTCGCACCGCAGGAATCAGCCGATCTCGAATGGCAAGAATTTCATGGATTATCAACTATATTTCCTTAATATACGTTTCCAATCCACGTGCTCACGCCTCCGTGGAACGGCAGCGCGTTTTTCCCTTTCGCTGAAGGATGAAGCTGAAACACGAACTCCAAACTAGCTCGTATTAGGCGCGTGGAACAAGGGCACGCGGAGGGCAGACACGCGGCAGGAGCAATAGTAAAGCGTATCCAGTTGTACCACAGGCCACCTGAGTGACAGCCAGCCCTCGCATTCCGAGCACGGTAAACAGCAAGTGTCCCCGCCCGTGCGGCACACGCCGCTCCCCCGTGCCACGTGCCGCACGCGCGTAGTACGCGGCGGCGGCGGCAGCTGGCTGGCTCTGCTGCCGCGTGCCGCCCCAGACTTGCGCAGCTGCGGTACCGTAGTTCGGGCGTCGGCCGCCGCGCGCCGGCGGCGCCACTGTTCGTCCGCAGGGTCCACGGCCGGCGGCTGGCGCGCGCCAGTGAGAAACGGCCGCCGCACGCACGTGCGCCGGGGATGGAGGGACGGCGCCGCCGGGAGCACGAGAGGAGGTGGGTGCCGCCGCCGCCGGATGTTTGGTCTAGCGGCGCTGTTGTCGGCAGGGCGCGGTCGCCGTGGTGTCGCCAGGCAGGTCCAGCCGGGGCCGCCGGCGGCACAATGAAGTTGACGTGTCCGGTCTTGAATGGGGAGTCGATTGTGGCCGGGAATGTGTCGGCAGGGTGGCGCCGTGAACGGGCACGGTATTGTTCGGGGCGGAGACATGGGGGACGGGTATGGACAGCGACGTCGTGCACACTGTATGCACCGGCGACGGAGGGAAGGCAGCTGACTGCGATGCTATCCACGTAAAGTGCAGTTATTGCTGTGTCTAACGTACACTGGCACTGCTACCTTTGCATGGGTGTCGTACAATGTGGGACGGGCGGGCATGACATGAGTGATATTTGTCATGCGTAGGTCACCTGTCGTGCCTGACAGCCGCGCCCGACTAGTTGAGTTGGAGTAATGTGGGGTCATGGGACTGGCTAGCACCGTTGACTGGCTACAACACGTTTGATGCTCTTGACATTTGAAAGGAAGTGTTCCACATTTGTACAGGACTTTGGACTGAAATAGCCATCTTGAGGATAATTCATTGCACTTACAACCCCTGCCTTCTTAAGGCTTAAAACCCCCTAGTTTCTGAGCCACACGCCCGCGAAGACGCGTAGACTATTCCATGCATACTTTTTCAAGTTTACCCAGATATCCATGACACTAGAGTAACGTCATTCAAACCATGCCATTCCACTGGCCATGCGTCGTTAAAAGATGGATGAGAGCATGATTGCCCAGCCGTTCGTATCTGGAGTTCGTGAGCACGATTTCAATATATATATATATATATATATATATATATATATATATATATATATATATATATATATGTGTGTGTGTGTGTGTGTGTGTGTGTGTGTGTGTGTCGGCCGTCAATTGGCTCACATCCGCTGTTGTGCAAGCTGTGCAATAGTCTGGAAATCAGACCAGTAATCAAACAGCTTAAGAAAAGCGTCATAACCGGGCACGTGGATGCAAGTCTGCATCTTAAACCCTCGGATAAATACGCAAGAACACTACGAGAAAGACCAAAACAAGAGCGTTCATGATATCTGGTTCCGCACCCAGCCAACACCGCCGCATGCAACCTCTATGAAAATTTAAAAACTGCAAGTGATTGCTGTCACACAAGGGTTCCGGGACGCAGGCAAACAATGACGTATTGAGCGTGTTTACTGCATAAAGACATTTTGTTGTCTAGAGTGGTTTTTTCCACTTTCAAGTATACCAGCAGCGATACGCGCGCTTGTTTCATTATGTCCGATGTTGGCTTCAATATCTTCAAATGTCTAACATTTTATTTAAACTGAATGTTCTGTTCTCATAGCATTCCCTTTAAGTGAAATGTTCCTCATTTTAAGATATTGAGGCAAGCATCAGATATGCTCTTATACCTATTGGTGTGTTTAAAAGGGCAAGGACTGCTCTAGATAGCGCAATTTCTCTGTGTAGTAAATGCTCTTCTCAATACATCATTGTTTTATTACGCCATCGTGCCTTGCACAACATTGATTGAACGCCAATTGATGGCGGTTACAGGTTGAAAACGTCCTTACTAACCCCACTTATGAACGAATCGACAATTTTATTTTTCTTGCCCTTAATCGCCGCATGGCTTATGGGATGGCAGCATTTGAGAGACGTTGTTGTGTCGCCAAGGATGCCTGGGTGACCTTGAAGAAGTCTCCCCAAAACGCCTGCACGCTTGCGCGGATGTGTAGCTTAGAAATTGGAGGGGCTTATGTCTTAAAAGGGCAGGGCTGTGAACTATACTGAATGACCTTCGAGATGTCTATTTCAGTTTAAAACTGCATACAAATGTTGAACACCCCATTTGTCGGGAGTATTAGATACCCCACGCGATAGACCACGGTCCATTGTTCACATGGTTGGTTTGTAACGACAAATAAACGATCTGTCAGTCGTCGGGTATAATCGGGGGCAAGGGCCTTCGACTGCTGTTCAGAGCATGTTAGACGAAGAGAGCGACGAAGAGATTGGACGACGAACGACACTGACGAGCAGATCGGTCGCGATCTAACACCATCACGTTCTGAGTGTGGATGTCATTGAAAATGATTTCGAAAGCGTACAACGCTATCTCATCATATCCCCCATAACTGTGAGTCACTAGGATAACTTGAAACGTCCCGTCCCTGCACGGGCCCCGTGCGTTGATAGCGGCATCACCGCGACGGGCAGCTGCGATCAGCTGCGGGCCAACCACACCGAGCCGGGCACACGGTCGACATTCCTGGCACATGCGTTCCAATGCTCCGGCTGACATATTTACCCGACACGGGCGGGTCAATGGCCGGGCTGGCGCGGACTGCCCGAGCGTCGGCGTCACATTAACGAAGCCGAAATGTCACGAGGTGCTCAGTCATCCAAACCCGTGCCTGAGAGCGGCGCCGACGGTCTGAATCAGGAGCCCACTCGAACCCGATGACGCCTGAAGCGCCTGACTCGCCAGGCGTGCCATAACCGGCACTGTAAATCATCGGCCCACTATCAGATTCGTGACAACACGCCACAAGGGTGCCCGCGAGGAGGCCGAGCCTGAGCAGGCCGGCGGACCGGCTCGGAGACATCGCAGGCGAACGCCGGTCACCGCCCTTGCCCCTTTCCCCGCCGAGGTGGCTGGCTCGAGTGAGCAGTGCTACTGATCGGAGACATCGCAGGCGAACGCCGGTCACCGCCCCTGCCCCGCCGGGGAAGCTCGGGTGAGGAGTACAACTGATTCGAGATTCCGCAGGTGGACGCCGGTCACCGTCCTCCCTCGCCAGGGAGCTCGGGTGAGCAGCACTGCTGGTCAGAGACACCGCCGGTTGACACCGGCCACCCCCTCCCCGCCGGGGTAGCTCGTATGAGGAGTACAGCTGATTCGAGATACCGCAGGTGGACGCCGGTCACCGTCCTCCCTCGCCGGGGTAGCTCGGGTGAGCAGCACTGCTGGTCAGAGACACCGCCGGTTGACACCGGTCACCCCCCTCCCCCGCCGGGGTAGCTCAGATGAGGAGTACAGCTGATTCGAGATACCGCAGGTGGACGACGGTCACCGCCCTCCCTCTCCGGGGTAGCTCGGGTGAGCAGCACTGCTGGTCAGAGACACCGCCGGTTGACACCGGTCACCCCCTCCCCGCCGGGGTAGCTCGTATGAGGAGTACAGCTGATTCGAGATACCGCAGGTGGACGACGGTCACCCCCTCCCCCGCCGGGGTAGTTCGGATGAGCAGTGCTGCTGAGAGGCTGCGTCGTCTCCCCGCTCCACATTGCTATCGTGCGGTAAGTAAATCAGAGATGTAGGTCGACTCGCGTGCAGCAAGACAGTTTTCTATTAATCCTAATGCCTTCCCTGAGTTTGGCCGCAATCTCTTTGATTCTTGTTATCGCCGGCAGCTCTTCAGCCAGCCAAGCGTGCTGGACACGCCCCTCATATCCCAACGAGCAGCTGATGTGACCAGCGGTTTGAGTCCCCCTACTCAGAAGCTCCAGGACATGCCGACCACCGGCGCGCCCTTGGAGAGTGGCGGACAGCCCCGGCCCGGCGTCACGTCGCTCGCGCCCGGCACTAGTTTGATCCAGCCTGAGGTTCCGGTTAATGGGGCACGTTTACTACCTTCTTTGTGCCGCGGTCTTAATTGCTGTTCGGCCGCCTGGCGATTCTGATTCACGCCCCTCCAGCACATGCTTGGCCTCCAGACCGACACTCTTCCGCCGTCCGAGTGGGAGGGGGATGGGGAGGGGACCGAGCGCGGCGTCTTCGTGACTGACGTCGGTCAAAGTCGCATCAGGACGGCCCAGACATGTCGTGGTTTCAGACAGAGCGTGGTTTGTGATGGACAGATCACCCGTAACTTCTGAATACCGTCTGAGACTCGCGAGCGAAGCACGAGACAGCACGGTAACCTCCATGTCACGAGGTCGCGAACCGAGGAGGGAAAGTGACGCTTCCACTGCGGCGCGGCCGTGTTGTACCATGCGCTACTGCCGGAGCTTAGGCAGCCCCCGGTCCCCGCGTTCTGATGAGATTTACAGCGGCACACGCGGACGGCACCATGGTTCATTACGCTCTGGGATGTATGTGCGTGCGTGTAGTCTGCCACTGCGTTTAGGAATGCAATTTGTATGCATGGTCCCTTCGCATTCACCTCTATTTTTACGTCGAGCTTCATCTTTTGGTGATTTGGGAGGGGGAGAGGGGTAGAGCTATGTGTGCGTTGCGGACCATCCTAATACACGTCTAGTGTCCGAAATCTGACGTGTCTAATGGACTGCTCGGTCACTGTCCCGACACGTCGCGTCTCCGAAGGCGCACCAGCGGTGCCGTCTTGGCCCTGTGTCTGGGCAGTCGTGGGTCGCACCTGGGCACGGCGGCGGTAACATGACAGCAGCCCCCGGGGTGCCATCATGTCCCTGTGTCTGACAGGTTATGGCGCTACGTTTGGACGGTGGCGTCTGTGACACAGCAGCGGCACCTGAGGTGTGCCCAGCGAGGCGGGAAGGGGGCTATCCACACCTCCGACGCCCAGTGTCCGTATCGCTAGGCGTCGTGCATGAGCTTCAACGCCAGCCAAGTATGTGGCTGATAGACATCTCAGGCTATTGAGACGTCGTTTCTGTGCAGCGCACTCGGCTCATGATGTCCGCAGAGCCCGGAGACGTGTCTGCCGCCTTGCTGCCGATTCCATGAGCTGGGGGACGTGTCTGCCGCCCTGCTGCGGATTCCATCAGCCGGGGGACGTGTCTGCCGCCCCACTGCCGATTCCATGAGCTGGGGGACATGTCTGCCGCCCTGCTGCAGATTCCATCAGCTGGGGGACGTGTCTGCCGCCCCGCTGCCGATTCCATGAGCTGGGGGACGTGTCTGCCGCCCCACTGCCGATTCCATGAGCTGGGGGACGTGTCTGCCGCCCTGCTGCGGATTCCATCAGCTGGGGGACATGTCTGCCGC